TAAGATAAGAGGCCTTTAATGTCCATGGTGGTGAAGTTCCTAGAGGGCAAAATGGATGATGTAAACGACTGTGATTTCTCAAATCCACAAGGACCTACTGAAGTGGAAAACTCTCGGACACCAAATGGATGCAGCTGCAGTTATGACTTCTCCACTGATTCCATCTATCTTATCTGGTCCAAGGTGATGATATGGGGGAAGAGAAGACATAAAACACGTGCTGCAATGGTAATACTTCATTTCTTTTACTTTCTAGCTTCTGTTTTATGTTTCAAAGCAGACAGTGGAATGCAAATTACTACTAGAATTCTTAGCGTGTGTTATAATATCCTTGAATTCTTTGACTTATTTCTTAAATCTAACTGTCCAATTAACTTATTTTCCTTCTGACATAATGTATTTGATGGTAATATTTTATATTTCAAAGTTTCTTGCAATGCCAAAATGAATTAGTTTTAACTAAAAATTTGTCTTTCACTTGTTTAATAAAACATTCTCATCACATTTTTTTATCTTACTCTTTTCAGTGTTTACTCGATCAAACTTCATTTCTTCCTTCCAAATGCTAAATAATTGAGAAAGACTGGACCACCCAATTAACAAATCCAGGAGTAGAGACTAACGCTGAAAGAGAAACCGATTGATAAGTTAATTTCTTTCCTTGTGTGTGTGTGTGTTTTTTTTTTTTTGTTTTTTTTTTTTGGTCCATTACAAATTTGTCATTTTACATTGAACAGAAAACTGTTGCAGCACTTCTGTTTTAATTTCTGTATGTAATGTAATACTATTAACTACTTCAACTTCAAACTGGTGTTGCACGTCTATTAATATCTAATCCTGCCAATTTATAATGCTTGTTGTCTGATTGTTATCTCCTTAGTGTGTTAATTATATTTAGGATTAATTCCACATATCTCAGTGTTGAATATAATTTGTGTTTGAGTTTGATTATCTAATGTACGGTAATCTTTGTTCAAAAAAAAAAAAAATTGCTTGGTTAATCTGTGCTACTATCGCATTTTCATCTTGTACTGCAAAGTTTGTTATTGTAGAAGATCTAAGTGTACGCTCTCTATATGGTAGTTCTAATAAATTTAATAGGTAGATGGAAATCATTATACTTCTTTTTCTATGTGAACTTCTTTTCTCTGTTTTTTCCAGATCTGATTTTTGGTCATTTTAATAGAGATTTGGAGCCTTGCAATTAAAGTCCCTTCAAAGCCACCTCACAAAAGCTCCAATAAGGTTCCACCTTTTTCTTTTGACTTGTCTTGGAAAGTGCTAAGGCATTTAGATCCCCTATGACCCATTAAGAATAAATGGATAGATGAAATGTAAAAAAATTAACCTTCCAGAATTTTTGCTTCGAAGCCAGAAATATTGCTTCGAACCATTTTCGGAAAACAAAAGTCCGAGATTGATTCGAACTAAAATAAATTGGTTCGAACTAAAATAAATTGGTTCGAACCCAGAACTCTGAATAAGGAGGAACATGAATTAATTCTAATCGTGAGGAAAGATTAGAAACCTTGGATTAATTTTCCTGCACACTTAACACAAAAATAGATAAAATTCTTTTGAATCATGGTTTTAAACCATCATCAAAAAAACAAAGAGAATCTAACACTATCTATTTATTTTAGTTAATTGTCTTATTACAAAAGCATGTCTATATCTTTTTAACATTTTTTAATGGTAATATAAATAAATACATAAATAATCCTTGAATCCTTAAGTAGTTGAGGAAAAAGTCAAAAAACAATATTATTTTACAACAAAATGAGTACCATTAAGTTATTTGATTGTTAGGGTATAATTTAAATCTACATTAATTATATTTTTATAATAAACATTTCTAAGACAATCTAAAAATAGACATTATTTTTAATATCAGCCATTTAAATAATTTTAATTAAGTCATAGATGAATTTAAAGTGAATTTATATTTTTTATATAAATTAATAAAATATTACACCACAAACATGTTATTTAAATATCAAAATTGTATTAATTCCTTAAAAAAGTGCCAAGTTTGAGTCCAAATCATCTAAAATTTTGCCGCATCACCTTCAAAAATCCCAGTACAAGCAATCCAGATGGCCTAAAAATTTAATGCAGTCTCACATGGGGTGCCATGCAATGCAAGGGACAACAGGTAGTGACGTCTTAGTAGGGTATTTAATGGGGCTGTTGAAATTCCATCCAAATTAGGAGCTTTATTGAGAATTTTGTATAGTTTAAGATTTTAATTTAATGTAATTAAAGTTTAAAACTTTAATTGAATATAATTAAAATTTAAGACCTAAATTGCCAATTTAATTCAAGTTTGGAGTGGTAGGCGTACCCATGTCTCAGAACAATGACATATTTATATTGAAATAACCTCATCCTGGGGTTGAAATTTAACTCGAAACTTAAATCTTACCCAAGAGTTTTGGTGCTTTTCCAATTTTAGAACACGTGCATTGACCGACTTTTTTAAATGGGATCAGATTTTGATTCAATGGCTGAAATAAAATCAGAATAAGTTATAAAAAATAAAAGTAAATAGTATTTTTTACTGTTTTAAATGATAAAAACATTCCTTGACGATGACTGTCACTAATGAGAGTGGCATTTTCTTTTCAATTTCACAAGGACGCATTTCACATGGAGCTGAGCTGTAGACCGTCACTACCGTCCGCGTACGGTGTCTGATGCTGGTAATAATTGTACATTTCCATCCGCCCAAACATTTTATCTCTGATCAAACTGATCCCTCCCCCACACAGTCACATGCTGGCATTTTCAGTTTTGTACGGGTCAATAATTGCTTTCTGAATCGTTTCACCTGCGTTTTGCTGAAGTTGTTCCCTGTTTAGTGTACTGGACATATGCAGTTAACTAAATGGATAGTTAAAAATGATAACGTGCGCTTACTAATCACTTTAACTTTATAAAGAATTTCTCTTATATGTTATATTGACAAGTGTGATATTTGAATTTTATTTTTAATATTTT